CTCTTCTAAATCTGAAAGCTTCTAAAGCACCTGCTGTAGGTATTGAGTAAAGTGCAAAGAGAGACTTTGAGGAAAGGTTTTCTGTATCGTGTGTGTACAGAACCTTAACAGGAAGTACCACAAGTAGGAATGCTGAGATTTTCTATTTTACCCTTTTTTTGTTTATGGTCAGTGGAGAAAGGACTTTCCCTTCCGTGTTTTGGCAGTGTCGTAGGTCTCCGCATGCTTCACTTACTTCCCACCAATCTCTGCCCAGTTGTTTCAGAGACTGTACCCAGTCAGCTCACATTTTTTGCTGCCACTTGGGCAGGTTCATTTCGTTTTTTTTTCAACCTAGCAGAGTATAGGTGGTGCACCAAGTGTTACAAATGGTAACTGTGGATGCTGTCAACTGCTGAGTGACGCTGAGGAAAGAGGCGTTCATACTTGAAGGAGGTATTTCTGGTCTTGGCAGAACAAGAAAAAGAATCCTCTTTCTTTTTTGCTTTCATTGAAATTAGAGTGTCCAGTATAGCATCCCAGCTCTGATGGAAAGAATGAGAGATGATTAGCCTCGTGCCGTTCTCCCACTATGGGAAAGCTGTGCTAACCCCTTTCTTTCCTTGTGTTGCAGCTTTCCTCCCAAGCAGTTTCTGCATGTACACCACGGTGATTGCCATGACTGGCTGGTATATGGACAAGACCTCTGTAGCAGTGCTGGGGGTGGCTGCTGGAGCCCTTCTGGGCTGGCCCTTCAGTGCAGCTCTTGGGTAAGGAGAGGAGGGCTCTTGAGTTTTGCACTTTCTCTAACATTTCTTGGCTGGTTGGGGAGAATGTGGGGGCTGGAGAGCTGGAGGAGGAAACTAACAGGAACTGAGCTGCCAGCCTAGTCCAGGATCATAGCTGCAGGCTTCCATAGCCTGATTTCTTGGGAAGGTTTCCTGACCCTGATATACTGACAGTAAAACCTGAGTTGGACGACTGGAATATGGACTAGAAGCAGAGCCCAGTGAAGTGATGGTTCTCTTCCAGCTACTGCCCTGCTTGTTTTGAAGGGGCAGGAGAACCTGCAGTGGGGAAAGACAAAGTCTCCAGTTGATATCTCGTCTCTCTTTCAGGCTTCCTATTGCCTTTGACTTGTTGATATTGAAGCAGAGGTGGAAAAGTTTCCTAAACTGGTGTGTGGTGTCATTGATCCTGTTCTTGGTAAGTGCCTGTAACAACACAAAGAGGGAGTGGATTTGGCTTGCGATAGAAGGGGTGGATTCCATTAAGAAGATCACGTGGAGCTTTTGGGCAGTCCAGCCAAAAGCTTCTGGCACTTTAAATAATAGATTCTTTCTTCCAGGTGCCCTTGGTAGTTGTGGACAGCTATTACTATGGGAAGCTGGTAGTTGCACCTCTCAACATTGTTTTATACAATGTCTTCACCTCTCACGGACCTGATCTCTACGGTGAGTTTAAGATAACAAGACAGGAAGGGAGTCGGCGGTTTTCTTGCTAGCGTCTTGCTACCGTGACCCACCAGGTCTCGATTGCCAGTCCTGTTTCTGACGTACATTTAAAGCAGAACCAGCCTGCAAGCTCCAGAGGGCTGCAGCTCCAGCTTTTTGCCACAGGATGTCTCTCTCGAGCTGGGAATCCCGAGGCTTTTGTCGGTTTTCCCCGCGCTATGAGTTCAGCTGCTTTTGTGCCCTTTTCAGTTCTGTAGACCATCGTGACATACCTCAGCGTCACAGCAGGGAACTGTTAGCAGTAAACGTGTCTGGATGCTACGCGAGTGCAGTGGGCACAAGTGATACATGTGTGCGTTTGTCAGCTTTAATTGAGTTCTTGGCTGTTGTTCCTCACAGGCAGGGTGCAGAACCTTGGGAAAGTGGGTAACAGCGCAGAATCCATAGTTCTTTCAGTTCACATCGGGTCGCTGCAGACTTCTTGAATCCGTGCTGTGCCTTGGGAATCTCCTTGCTTATTGGCAGTGTATCGTCTGAGCTTTGCTGGCAAACAGAATCGGAGGTTACCATAAAGGCACCTAATCTGCAGGCAGATCGTCTGCCTATGAAGTGTTCCCTGGCACAGGCCGTTTAGGATACTGTGTGACCCAAATCTCAGGTCTGAACCTTGATGGCAATGCTGTGTTGTTTGTTTGGGAGCTGCCGCTGCACTGAGTCGTTCATATCATGTAGTTCTAGAGCTGAAGAGTAGGAAAGTATTGTGTTACTAGCAGGGCTTCAGAGGGGCTGGCGGAGACTTCAGGGAGCTTAAGGTGCAGGGTCCCTGCGTCATCTCTGCCATCTGTTTAAGCCCTGTCAGGATATTCTCGGAAGGATTCAGCAGTAGTTAGCAGCAAGGCTTGCTCTGGCAGTGCCCTGCAGGACATATTTGTTGGTTCGTTTGAAGGGCTGTTTTGGGTGGTGCTGATTTGTTACTCGTGCTGCAGCACAGCGGGGCAACAGCTGCTTTGCCATAGTTCCTCATCTCTGCGGGAAGGCTCTGAAGTCTGTTGCTGTGAATTTTCTGTACGTAAACTCCAGGCTCTGTTGCTGATAGGTTTTGGCATGGGCTTTTGCCTGACCTTTTCCACACTGGTGTGTGAGTTGTTTCCAGAAGCCTCCAGGGACTAATCTATTCTGAAGTGTTTTATTCATAGTGACATTCGTAGAACATCCTCAGGCTAGTAAAAGAGCCTGCTTGAAATTGCTCTTTAATGCCATGTGGCCAGGACAACGCTTTGTGTTTAGAGAGCTTCAAAACACTTGGGAAAAATAACACTACCAGGGGAGATGAAAGGCTGGCCAATCCCTTTTGGCTTTGGAGATGGGATTTCCCAGCTGCCACATGACGGGAGCAGGAACTGCTGGAGGTTGCAGAGTCATCAACCCATATCATCTTCAATGGAAGCACCACAGTATTTTCACTTTTGCCTGCAGACTGGAGTTCTGGAGACAAGCTTCGATGTATTTCTTGTTTTGTCTTTAGCAATACGCTGCTTCTGGATAAATACAGTCTGCGAAATGAGTATTTCCCTGGGGCAATTACATTTCTACAGCCAAGGGAAAGTAGCTTCAAAGCTGTATCCCTAAGCCTGATTCTGAGGCTTTGGGATGCTTTCGTGTACATGTGTTCTAAGAACAAATGGTTTGTGACAAAAGTTTTGTCTCAGTTCCTGTGATCAGAGCCTTGGCTGTGACTTGTAGTGCAGTGTCAGTTTGGGAAGCTTTGTTCAGCTTGGGCAGAATGTGCTGGAGCTGTTTATATGACACTTTGCTCTGTTGAGTCCCGGTTCTTAAATAGAGTGAAAAAAAATGAAATGCAGAAAGCAGATTGTTTATTATACTAGCACTGAATCAGACTTGCTTAGAATGAGGGCTGTGACTCATGGTGAAATTATTGTGGCTTAGTTACTGCTAAACAGCTGAGCTACAGTTCCTGCCTGCGTGCAGGCTTTTAGCCTGTGACAAACCTAGGGTGGGGCACCTTAGTTTAAGCCAATTTTACAACTCCTCTGCTTTGTTCTGAGCCACCCTTGCCATTGATGTGGTCAAGCTGCGGCATGGTAGCTTGTTAAGTTCTATTAACTTGTGTGTGAGTTTGATTTCTAGAGTAGCTCCCAGAGCCTGTCACAGAACACAAAGTTCAAACCAGTTTCTGGCTCAGTGTCTGGCAGTGCTTCCAGCTGGTTATCCCCATGGAACCATAGTGCCATGAACTGACGGGGCCACAGGGTTCTTGCCACTGCTTTCATCAGTCTCTCTCCTACAGCCTACGTGCGCTCAGCTCTAGCACATGGGATACTTGCAGGAAGTTAAATCTTCTGTCATGGTCCAAAGGCGATGCTGTGGAAGCATGTTCCCATCAGTACTGTGCATGGAGAGTTCTTTAGTGTCCCTCCCTGCTTGAAAGACATTGTTCTGGGCCAGGACTTCTTGTATGCAAAGAGGTTGTTCTGTTTTTACATTGCAGTTCTTTCTCAGGTCACCTTGAGTCATTACGGATAACAAAGAATAAAAGCATTTTGTCCTGGGAGGCGTTGAGACTGAATGCCTCTGAATGAGTGAGTCGTCACAGTGACCAAGCCTATTGCTTTTTGCCTGGTGTCTGTGAATTATTTGACTTGCTTGGGTAATGCACTGTTCTCCTCTGTTGTGGTTTTTTTTTTTTTTTTTTCTAATCTCCTCACCCGGAGAAGAAAATCCCTCCTTGGAGAAGGAGGGGTGGTTCCAGTGTTTAGTTCTTAAGGGCAATTTAGTCACACTGCAAAAAGTAGCCTTTTTGTTAAAACTGTGCTTCAGTCGGGCTGACCTCTTTCTTAGCAGAGTCCCTGAGGACACCTTTGGGCCTTTAAGGCTGTATCTGGATTGTGGAGGAAGTGTGCTTCATTAAGTGTCCTTCATTCCTGAGTCCCAAATCAGAGACCAGACTAGAGAGACCAATAATTTTCTTTACTTTCCATAGCAGCCAGGGCAGGTAGAAGGGTGACAGTATGGTCCCTGGTACTGTGCTTTAAAGATTCGTGACTGGGCTGGGCTGTGCAGCTTAATTGTAGCCGGAAAACACTGCAGGGTAACAGTTTATACCAGTTTAAGAAGCTTTCTATCTCAGCCTGGCATCTTCTGTGATAAAGTGTCTGTGGTTTATAGCAGTGGGAGTGGGGAAGCAGGCTATGGAATCCAGTTCCAGTCCTTTATAAGGAGAGGCCTTGGTGTTCCACAGAAGTAGTTACTAGAGTGGTCTAACCAGTGTTAACTCTGCTGTAAGTCTTTAGAAACCTGTACTGTTGTCTCAGAAGAGAATCTGGAGGTAGGTGGGCTGGGAAGAAACCAAAGCCTTCTTTACACACACTGTTTCTGGGTGTCCACTGGAAGTTTTACAGTATGATACCCCAGTCTGCCTCAGGTTTTCCCTCACAGACATATCCCATATCAGCAGCCCTCATTTCTAAGAAGGATAGTACGCTTCAGTCCTAAAATGATCTGCTTCCTGCACATGTTCAAGATCTGTCACAGTGATCATTTAGAATTGCAGTCCTTAAATACAGAGAGTCACCAACAGAGTCTAGAGAAGGAGGAAGGGAAGTTGGCAGTATTGCAGTGTTGCTGTACGGATAACTTTGTCACGTCCATCACTTAACATGATCTTTCAATCTATCATGTCCCATATTCAGCCTTTCACAGGCTAAGGATTGTGCTCATGTGGGACTTGCAAGAATTATGAGGCAGGTGAAGGGAGAAAGGAGGTGAATTTCTAATAATTCACTCCCTTAAGGCCCCCTACTCCCCAAAATCCAGATCTGTAATTGCTATTTGCTTTCAGTGCTAATAGCTAATGGTTTCCTAAATGAACCTCAGTTGCTTGGACTTGGCCTTAGTAACTCCAACGACATTTCTGACGTTACTAGTGCAGCTTCTAGTGATACTTAGCTGTAGGAGCTGCAGAGGTTTCGGGTTTTCCTTGCTGCTTTTCAGTTGTCTGATTAATTTCAACATGGACCCTATTTAAGTGGCTCTGATTGCAGGAAATTGCTGCGGCATGTGACACATGTCACAACAGCATGGTGATTAAAGCCCCCGCGTGTCATTTACTGACTGATTGAGCTAATCACAGTGAGAGAGTGGCAAATGTGTGGAGAGGAACTGGCATTCCTTATTGTTCAGGATTTTAAGCATCCTGAGTTAAGAGTCCAAATAAATGACAGTTGGACTGGAATTTCTTTCAATTTACATCCTATGAAGCTTGCAGCCAATACCCAAGTATGTCATGTTAGGATTGCTCCTGTCTGAAGCTACACTGTAAGAACAAATTGAAGTGGGGACATTTTAAATAGTGTTGACTCTAAGGAGGTACCAAAACTAGCATTTGGATAAACTTCAGTGGTGGAGTCTTTGTGGGATGAAGTGTCAATGTGAACTCTTTATCTTGTTCCTCTTTGGTACATTTTCTGTTTCTGCCAACATGGAGTATACATCATCACTCCAGAATTGTAATGATTTCTTATTAACATTGTGTGGTTTTGTGTTACTCTTCCGTTACTCCTCTGCAATTAGAAAGAATGAATTTGGAGTCGAATTTCCTAGTTCTACAAGTTTCTGCCTCTACTTTCTTGTTCTGTAGGCTTTCTTAATGCAAGGGTATCACAGAACACTCCTGGGCAAGGCTGACTGCTAGAGTGGCTTGTGATTCATGAGCACCAGATGTGGTATTGACTATGACCCAGTGAAAAAGGAAGGAGGAAAATAATTTCTGAAAAGGAAGACAATGAAGTTTCTTGGGCAGACGTGACTGTGAGATACTTTGTATGGCTATTGACTTAACTCTCATGCCACTGTTATGGCAGTTTTATGGTTGAGGGGCAGAACCATAAGACTGCTTTGAGATGGCTCAGGCTTATTCCATGGGGCTACAACCTTTGTCCAGCTGTAAGATCTTCTGTCCACACCCTTTCCATTCTTTGGTTCCAGTATGCTTGCAATTGGGAGAATTGATGTTTGCTGCTGATTATTTCAGTCTGTGTCAGGCAGAGAAGGAATGAAGCTGCTGTTGCATCTAGATCTCATACATGCTTGTATTTAAAAACTCTTGTTTGTTTTCCTTATCCTTTAGGTACGGAACCCTGGTCCTTCTATTTCATCAACGGCTTTCTGAACTTCAACGTGGCATTTATTTTGGCGCTGCTTGTGCTGCCACTGACTTGTCTCATGGAGTGTCTGCTTCAGAAATTTCATGGTGAGTGCGAGACAGCAGTGAGAGCCAAGCACAGGCAGCCCGATCTCAACCTTGTTACTAAAGGGAAGAGGTTGCCTGCCAAAGAGCAGCTTTCCTTTATTGGAAGTGAAACCAGGTTCAGGGAAAGTCTTTGGCTTAATAGGAAGTTCCTAGAGCTCATTACTCAGTTCAGTATTGACCCCACAATGGAGTTGCTGTGTAGAAAGAACATGCAGTGTGATGCAGCTACTTATGTGCTGTCTGCAAAAGGGCAGAAACATGTTTTTCTCTTTAAGGATGATTCCTGTGTTCCCTGCCTCCACCTCAAGAAGAACAATGTGTTATCAAGGCTACACTATCCATACCTACAGTAAGCTTAACAAGTTGTATGGTACATAACCTTCAACCAGACATGCAAATGCATTAGAAATAGCCCCGTCAGAAGTCTTAAGGGGGAAAGAAACTATGTACTTATTGTTGTTTCCATCTTATCTGCAGCTGGAAGTGGTAGCCTTTAGAGTTATTTGGGGAACCTTTTGCTGGCTCTTCCATTATTACTTTTTTAATACCACTGCCAGAAGGTTTTCTGCAGCAGCTTGAGAGAACAGAGTTATTCCTTTATGATTGTTGGGGCTGATCCTACAAATAGGCATCCTCTGGTCTCTGCACCCACCACCCATGTTGGGACTGAACCTGGACTCTTCTGTGCACTGTGAAAGGCACTCTTCAACTTGCAGGATTGAGCCCTGGCAGGACAGTCTTACTACCCCATGCTTTGGGAAGTGTCCCCATAGGTGTGGATATACTGAGTAGAGAAAGGAAGCACCAGAATATTCCCCACTTCACGTTGGGCTTTCTCTTAAATAAAATGACATCAGTTTAAACACATGACATTTGGCAAGTGACTCTAGAGAGGAAAAAGGTGTTGAGGAAGTGTGAATTCTTCTCTGCTGTTTTCCTAAGGAAGATTTATAAAGTGTCAGCGGCAGCCTCCAGATTCATCATTGCAGTTAGTGCTTCGCTCTCTGATTTTTTTATGGAATACAAGAAGCAATAACATCAGAATCCTTGCTGAAAATGCATGTTAACGGGCATTTGCTTATATCTGTTCCTTGGATATGACTGACATACTGTCAGAAATCAGTAAAAGCTCGGTAGGAGATCCTGTAAATGCAAGATTTCCTGCTGTTCACTTGGTGTTCTTGTACTTAACAGCAGGAGCAATTCTGCGAAGTGCTTTGTTCTTATTGTCTCTGAAATGCCGTTAGCTTAATTGCTTAACTCTGCTGTTGGGAGTAGCAAGGGGGCAGAAAAGGGACTGAAAATTGTCAGGCACTGTAGAACCCTCCTCAGTGTGACTAAAATTCAGGGTAATTGTTGTTATTTTTGAATTAGTTATTTCCTCCGTTAAGCAGAAGGTGCCCGAGAGACCTCTCATGCTGTTATTTTTGAAATGAAGCAATGAAGTTGTGGAAACTTCAGCCGCTAAACAACCGTTTGTAAGTGGAAGGGTAGGTCCAGAGGAGATCCTTTCTAAACTTTGTATGTATAGCGTAATACACAGCAGGAAATCTGGTACTTCTGACTACCCGTTTAGACATATCAGTTCTTGATGAGTTTTGTCTCTTGCTTGGATTCAGTAATGAAGTCCCTTATTTTCTGCTTTTGGTCTTCTAAAGTCTGTTGGAATTGTTAATACTGTAGGAATCTACAAAAATTCTCTGATCAAAATTCTATACTGACTGTTTGGACATGTTACCTGGATTTTAGCAACCCGGTTGCTCAGACCGTGGTGCATTTGTGTCTGAAAGCAATGCTTTGGGTCTGAAGAATGGGCTTTTGAATACGAGATAGGATTGTACAAGAGGGGGAATAGGATAACCCCTCGTTCTTACGTTACTGCATCGCTGAACGTTTGTTTCTTTCAGTTCAGAATCTGGGCCGTCCCTACTGGCTGACACTAGCTCCTATGTACCTTTGGATCATGATTTTCTTCAGTCAGCCCCACAAAGAAGAACGGTTTCTCTTTCCCATCTATCCCCTCATCTGTCTCTGTGGTGCTGTGGCTCTGTCTGCTCTTCAGGTAAGTTTTAGCGGAACATGTTTTAAAGAGCTCGTACCTTTAGGAAGCATAACTGCTAGCTGACTTCTTTAACATTGCTTCCCAAAGTTTGGGAACATCTGCAGAATATCGGTGTCTGTGACACCATCTACAGTGATTACACAGTCCAGGACTGTCCTATGCGTAACTTTTGATCATCGTCTTTAATCTGTTAGCTGGTACAGTTTTCATTTTTGAACCACGTTTCATGGGTAGGTGTTGAGATTCTGGAAGCAAAATGCACAGCTGTTCTAATGCTGAAGTAAGAGTGTGAGTGTGTGTGTGTGTTGCTGATCTCACAAGCTAAACCATAACCTTCCTGTACAAGTTGGTTGAGAGTGTGTGGTAAACTATTACCCGTCTGTAAGATGTGATGTAAAAGCAAAAATATTTGGGATTTCCCTCCGGAGTGTCGTACAGAATGAGCTCGTCCAATAAACTTGGACTTCAATGCAGACTGCTCAACCGCCCAGCAAAAAACCCATCAAATTTCACGTCTTTATAAGGTGATCACATTAAGAGCTTGTTCAGGGTTGTGTGAAGTAATAAATGGCTGAGAATATTTCTTTGCCACTTATTATTCCATGATGACTTTGAGTTGCTCCCCTATCCCAAGTGCGAATTTCTGGTGAGGAGCAGTTGTGATGTTGTAGTACCAATACAACACAACATCCAAGAGATGCGATGAAGATTAGTAACTTCCTTATAGCATTGTGCCTCCTTTGTCTGCTGTTAAGCAAGCTTTAAGAGGCAGGAATGTGTGTGTGTAGGAAATGCATTTTGTTGTATCCTAGTAGGAATCCTTCACTGA